TCGAGTAAATGTTTATGCTTTGAAACTAATAAATCTTATCCGTATCTTATGTTGGTTTTATTTATGAAAGATGTTGAGGTCCATCCACGCGACTAGCCTCGTTTCTCCCAACCAATGTTAGTTAGTGATTAGTGATAGTGATCTTATATGTTCTAAAGCCCTACTTTGATACATTATACATATTAGTCATATTTTGTTACAATAGGGCTTTCGGACTCGTTGGTCATTTACAAACGTTTGGTGTAAATGTTCAAAATTGATTTGCTTCATAAAACGACAATGGGTAGAAGGCTACTGAATTAGTAGTTATAAAAAGAGTAAAAGAATACACGACAATTACTCTCAAATCAAAATGGATTGTAATCAAATAGCCGATAGGTAAGATCAAGGGATTTGTCGTCTGTGGCAATTTCTCTGTAAAAAAAAGCCTGTACAATGCACATTGCAAACGTCAGGGTAAACCCATTTTCTTCTACACTTTAAAGATTACAGTTTGATAACGCCAGACTATGAGCGTGTTCCCAGTCNCCAGACATATACCACATGTTTATTCTCAGATGAAAAAACACGCATTTACCGTGTATCCTGCTTTGAACCCTTATGACCTAGTGATCTCTCGGTGTTTCTTGAGAGATCATTTTACACTAGGAGTGCAATACATGCTGCATGTACGTCAGGCCTATATTTAGGTAGGTGCGTATACATAATTATGTAGAAATGGTATTGATAAAAGCAAGTTCAAAGCTTGATATATAGCCTTGAACCAGGACATCAATGCAAATTGATGTGATTAAAACCTTGATCTAATTAAATGTAGGCCTACTAGTATACGATACACCAGCTGTTAAATTTCTCAATCCGGCTTTTACTGATAATGAATATAGACCGTATGTGATTGAGATAATTAATAGGTCTTCTAACCATGGCTGTAACAGCATTAGCCTTCTGTTTACTATTTCTAGTAAATTCGTCTCTACAAGATTTTCCTTTCCGTAATACATCATTATTATGGGATGAAAGAGTGGATGATCTGGTAGGACGATTGACACTTGATGAAATTCAACTACAGATGGCTAAAGGTGGTGCCGGTATAAATGGACCGGCTCCTGCAATTGACCGACTTGGAATCAAACCATATCAATGGAACACTGAATGTCTTCATGGTGATGTTGGACACAATGCCACAGCTTATCCTCAATCTATTGGGCTTGCAGCAACCTTTAGGTATGTTTCAATTTTCAAGAATAGAAATTTCTCCGTGTACAATTTACTGTGTACAATTCACCATGTTACAGGCTGTTAGTATCGATGGTACAGATGACGTCATTAGGATACATTTAATTTTGCTTTTTACTCTCATTTCAGTACAGATCTGATATTTAGAATGGCTGAAGCTACAGCAGTAGAAGTTCGAGCTACTAATCATGCTAATGTACAGAAAGGATCTTATGCGGATCATACTGGACTGAGCTGTTTTGCACCAGTTATAAATATTATGAGAGATCCGAGATGGGGTCGCAATCAGGTAATAAGTTCAATAAAAAAATGTTGGCCCAATTTGACCAATCTATGAATAACTCATTTTTCTGTACTAGTATCTTAGGCGACTATAATGTATAATTTCCAATCTGTCGTGTTATAAATGCATAAGGAAAATTATTCAAAAGTTACTTTCCATTATTGGTCAAGCTCTTGACAACTTCAGGACCATGTAGTCATTGCCTCAAACCAATGAGGAACCAGGGAACAAAATATACATTAAGAGCTATGTATATTTGAAGTTTTGTCTGAAACCATACAAAGATCACAATACTCAATTGTTTTAGGAAACTTATGGAGAAGATCCTGTTCTTAATGGTATGTTATCACAAGCTTATATTAAAGGTTTACAAGGAGATCATCCCAGATATGTTAGAGCTAGTGGTGGTTGTAAACATTTTAATGTACATGGTGGTCCAGATGACGTGCCAGTTTCAAGATTTTCATTTGACTCTCAGGTTCAAGTATTTCTGGATTAACATAATACATAAAAATAATAAATCGGAATTCTCATCTTAAAGGTACGAAAGCGTCACTTTATCTAAACTTTATGAGTGGTGCCACCAATACCGTTGAAACCAAATTGGGTTGTTCGGAGGTCTCCGTCAATGGGTAAACGAATCTGGCCTTTTTTAAATGCAAGTTTGCATGCGTGTTTTTTTTCATATAGGTTTCTATAAGAGATTGGAGAACAACGTTTCTACCAGCATTTAGATATTGTGTAGAAGCTGGTACATACAGTCTTATGTGTAGTTACAATAGGTAACGTATATAGGACACATTTAGTATATTATGTTAAACATGAAGTTGAGTAAAAATAGTAATAAAGTAACAATTTACATTCAGTAGGCAGTGGCAGCGCCAGTTGGGGTACAGGGGAGGGGGCGTTTTCCCCTAGAACAATAATTTGCACCCCAATTGTACGCCCACTTTATTTGAAACAAATTTGGAAAATACAATTTTTATATATATTTTCACCGAAGTATGTACCTGAATTCACCAAATCAATTCAATTTTTCCAAAATGTTCTTAGAACTCTTCTAAACGCTCCACAGATTTGCCGCATTTTAAATTTAGGCTAGACAATTGTCCCCCTATTGAGTCACTCTGCCCCCCTAACTCTTAGTCTCGGGAGGCTGTCGCCGCCACTGTTAGTAGGTAGTGGCTAATGTTTGCCTCAAGTATTTCCCTGTAATTTCAGAATTAATGGAGTTCCAGCCTGTGCTAACGAGTTTCTATTAACTGAAGTTTTAAGAAAAGAATGGGGATTTAAAGGTTATGTTGTCAGTGATGAAGAAGCTTTAGAAAATGTTGTTTATCAACATAAATATGTCAACAATACAGTGGATGCTGCTACAGCTTGTGTTAAAGCAGGA